AATACAAGCCATACATTCTCCCAGCTAGTTATTCCGTACCTACATGGTAAACCGAGCTGCCTATTCCGTAAATAGAGGAACGCCCACATTACCTATGAGGTAATGAAAGGGTCCGCCCAGGTACCATGGCTGTAACTATACGGGTGACTTAGTTACCAATGCTTTATCGATACGAAAGTCTTAGGTACCCTACGAGAACACACAGTACTGACATAGGTATCGTTAGGATACCTATATGAGTGATGTAAGTACCATTTGGGTACCTATCCGGAGTTATTGGTACTATTATGGTACCTATATGTGTGACTTAAGTGCCGCTAGGATACCTCTATGAGTGACTTAGGTTCTATTAGGGTACCTATGTGAAGGTACTAGGTGCCATTAGGGTACTTAGAGGAACTCTAACTACCTGCGAGGTACCTATAGGAGATGTGTTTTCGAATAAGGAAAGTATGAAATAGGCACCCGTTCTAGCGGGTTTTAAAAGGCATTGGTAAATTAGTGTGCGTTTTTCTAACACGGTACATTATTATAGCGTGCAGAATAAATGGGCGTTGGAAAAATCAGCGGTTTAAACGTTCAGTTTTTCTGAACATCGTTGGTTGTCAATCGGGGTTCCCGATTGGCAGTGGGGAACGAGTTTGAAAAGTGGATTGGAGTTCGTGTACAGAATCTCGTCATTTAAACGTTTAAAGTACGTGAGCGTGTGAAAAACGGATGACTTAAACGTTTGCTTTTTTGCAACATCAACGGTTGTCAATCGAGGTTCCCGATTGTCAGCCAGAAACGCTTATGTAAAGTGGACATGAACGTCAAAACAAAATGATATTCGAAAAATGTCACAATTTTTGACGAGCTTACAAAATTGATCGTTTTTACCGTGAAATAAAGTGGTCGTTTTTGGCTGCTAGTCGGGAACCCCAACTGTCAGCCAGACACGGTCGAAAAACTTTTTGCGTTTAAACGCGTTTTTGAAAATTTTTGTCTGCTTGGGCATTGCCAATTTTAAAATGAATTTAGTAATGAAAGAAAAGGTGTACAAAGAACTGACAAATCCCAATTTAAACTATGGATTAGTTCAGTATTGTATTCTAATTTCAACATAAAGATGATACATTTCGAGAAATATTACACAACAATAGTGATATTGTTAATCCTGCTTATGCTTATCAATGTTGATACAACACCGAGTTAGTCAAAGAATACGAAGCACGGTGGTTACTCTTAGTAGAAGTGGAAGGAGATTTTTTCCGCTCAGCGAGTCTTCCTTGTGTCTCAGGAAAGAAATGATCCCTATCATATTTTAGCGAAAAGTCACAGCACTCACAAGCAAGGCGATAGCAATCAGTACGACGATACTCAAGAGCAGAATCATGAAAATAAAAACAACAAAACAGGGTATGAAGTGCATTTTATAATCTATATTGGATTAAAATTCAACTCATGGTGATGACTAGGTCATCGACTAAGTCCCCCTACTGCGACTTCAAACACGACTACAACTACGACGATAGGTAATTCGTGCATAGCTGTAACTCTTAACAGTCAATTTTTTTCGCGCTTGAAAAGCATCTGAATTCAGCCTAAGTGTTTTAATGGAGAGCTGAACGAAGAAAATATTTTTATTTCGGAAGCAAAGGCTTCAGCCAGTTTCAGATCGCTTGAAGCCCAGATTTCTTTTTAGCACTTTTTTAGTATTTGAAAATAGAATAAAAGTTGTGTTTTATGATTACTTTCTGATAATAAAAATCGAACTACTGATTGTATTTCTTTTGTATTCATTCCAATTGTAAGATATTTTCATCATAGAAATAAATTTATTATAAAACCGTGTCATATTCTTAAATGAAAACCAATAAAGAAAATCTAGAATTTTTGTTTTATTCCTCTTTGATAGATATCGTACAAAGGTGTGATTCAGATGAAAATGCTGTTTTCATGCGTGAAAAGAGCATATTGCTCATGCGGATTTGAACTGCTTCATTTTTGAAAAGTAATGACTTTTTTTAGTAAACTTACTGCGGAAGTTTTGTTTTTAAAATCTGAATGTTAAAATATCTTGAGAGATACTTATGTGAAATACAAACGATTTGAATGAAATGGTCGCGCCACTAGTGAAGCACAATCGTTTTAGGTAGGAAGTCAGTGGTTCTATCGTCCTCTGTAGATAATGACAGTTTCTATTATTGAATTCAGAGTACCAACAAGTCAAATTTCGAGAGTTTTGCTAAAGCCATGAATTTGAAGGAAAGCGTAGAAAAATGCAAGGTGTCTCAAGAAGTAGCTAGGCATTTTAAATTTTTTGTTACACTCAAACAGCAAAAGATATCATCCTGATTTTTTCATCGTTTTGAAGCATGGGCCATGACATACATTTTTTTGTAAATAAAAATGAAGATCTATATATATGTGTGGAAACGAAAGGAAAGGAAAGGAAAAAAAGAGAAAAATCAAAGGTCAACAAAGAGCAAAAGAAAATGATGCAGTACCAATTATGAAACGCACGATAGAAATAACAGAACAAGTTGAAACGATGAGAGAGAAGAAAAATCAATGTGACACGAAACGAAATGAAACGAAACAGTGACATGGAGATCAATGTGTTACAGTAATCCTGTAACAATAGTACCATTTTCTTTCAGACAAATTAATATGACTAAACGTTTTACTGTTCAAGATGGGGTGGGTGTGGTGTGGCGGTGGCTGTGAATCTTTCTTTGCATTTTCTACACCCACACTCAAAATAATGAGTAATTTTCACTCGTTCTTTAAACCAATTTCGTGCTGAATCCTGGACAGTCAAACGATTAATCGATTTGTTTCACCTAGAACAAAATGCCATGACCCACGCTTCAAAACGATGAAAAAACCAGGATGATATCTTTTTTTGTTTGAGAGCAACAGAGAATTTAAAATAGCTAGCTACTTTTCAGACACTCTATACATCCCATTAAATCTTGTTAGGAAATAATTTTCTTTATCCAAATCATTCGATGAATGTTTATGACAAAGAAAAAAAAAGAAATTAAAATTACATTTATACGGATGATATTTTCGTACTGTCATCATTTGCATAGTAAATAAAAAGAATCATTTGTAATAATATTAAACTTCAAATTCTACGCAATTTACTGCTTTATTTACAAATCAGAAAAAGAAACATATTCAACGAATTGATTTCATAAGGTACTATGGCTTTATGATGATCCCATTTGCTGAAATGATGATGATGAAGAGTGATATTTGGAAGTTATATCATATTATATATACTTATTCTCAGATACTATATTGATACACGTAATACATATCCAACGGAAAGAAAAACAATTCTATTCACAATTAACAATATTCGTCGCAATAGATTTTTAAATTTCAAACATTCTACGAAATTCAACTATTCTCTTTCGAATGACCATGAATAATTTTCTTAGAGCGCATTGAAGTGTGATCGAAATTGAAGGTACCTCAAAATACAACTAATGAATGGGTAGGTGGGCATAAGCATAAACTCGGGTACGGAAATACTAACTTCCGCCACATTATCAAGACACAATTTCATATACATCTTTGAAAATAAGCTTTTTATTGACGTATTCATCTTAGTTCATTTTTTTTCTTTTCTTTTTATACGGATTGATTCCGAGTGTAGACGAAACGATTGAAGTAGTCACAAAGTAAGCGAAGAAATCTTTATGTGATTTCACTATTTGAGTCAACTAATGAATTGACTAACTCTCATATCCGTCACATTTTCTACTGCAAAATACGCTACGCGACACACTGAGATTTTTCTCGCATCGTTGCAGAACAAGTGAAATTTTATTTTACTTCGCTACTACTTATACTTGCAGTTGTAATCATTCTTATTATTGCTACACATTTTTTTCTCCTATGGCAGCGCCGCGTTTTTCGTTCTGTCACGTTGTAAAATGGTTCGGCCAATATGCTTGTGACAATTTTATTTTGTATATATCTCAGTTGAGAAAAGGTCACAGAGTTTTTATTTTTCTTCTAGAAGATGCGCAATTTAATTACTCAGAGATTTATTTACATTAGTGTAACACAATAATTAGAACTGAACTTTTTTTTTTTTATAGATCACATAGTATGACTATACGTATTGTAGATATTTCTAATATAGTATATTTTTGCTACATTTTGTGCAGTTCATATATATTCGAAGAGAATATTGAGTTAAAGTTTCAAGATAAAGCTTTCCGCCTCTGCTTCTTCTTTATGATGGACCCCAGTAGAAAGTACGCTGCAATATATCAGTAAGTATTTTAAATAGAGTCCGTTTTTGATTCTTGCACAGATATAAATCATATTCTAGATATTAGTGATGATGAACAGTGATATATTTATTTCCCATAGTCGACATTAAAAATAGCCTTCTTGATACTGTGCGCATTTTTCTTTAGACTAAATTGTTTTTTTTACATATATTTTGAGCTCTAACAAGAGAATCTTCCGAGGTGTTACGATCTAATTCTCATGAATTTTTGTCTCCAGATACTAGATGATATCCTAGTAAAAACTCTACCAGGGTTTTAGGTTCCAACTGAACTTTGTTTGCGTTACCGATTTTTTGCTTTTGATAAATCTATTGTCAAGCGAAAAATAACTCAATAAAAATATGCCTTAAGTAGATGCAATTCATAGATTTTTTTGGATTTTTGTTTTATTAAAATATATGAATGTTTTGTAGTAATCTATATGATGATTTTCTTGTTAGCTTTCTTTTGAGCACTCTTCAAACGCTTAGAAACATATTTTCGGAGTATCTTGAAAGGAATAACATAATCGATGCTAAAAAATATTTGATTTAGTTCAATATTGTTATTCTTTAGTTTCATTTCAGTGAAAGAATGTTTATTGCTCCTGCCTGTCCAAACTCGGTGACTATTCCGATGATTAAGAGCAAGTAATGTTTTTTCCATTTTTCAAAACAGAATCTTACACTTTTGTATTTTTTTTCTTTTGACTGTATAGCTGGATGTATGAAAACAGGATTTGATCCGACCTATCCTATTCACTTAAATGGAATTATTGGCCAAGATGAATTTGAACAATCCATCAGTCATATCAATCGTGTATTATTTTCAACTAGAATACTTTACATCGTTTTCGGCCTAATTATTACGTTGTGTATTGCCGGTGGAGCACTCCTACATGGCACTATAGCATTAATAGTTGTTGGATTTATGTTACTGGGTCTTTCCTTGTTTAGTTTATTGATTGGATGTCAAGTGGTTCAGTCACGTCGTGTTAATCGAATGAGACAAGCTGTTGCTGAAGAATCAAAGAAATATTCGATGAGATCACTGACACCGTGTAGTTGGCGATTGAACGTCAATAGATGGTGGTCTAGAGGACGTGGAGGAGGTCAGCATATTAGCTATCGGGTGAGCAGAATTATTTTGAAATTTTCTTTTTGAATCGAATTTACCTCATCGATAACATCTTTTCGAAAATATTTGTATTAAACTAGAGTGATATCTTCTAATCGATTTGAAAATAATTAAGACTTTATGTTCTTTATTCCAGTTAGTCATTGAAATTGGTCAAAATACTGCAATGAATTCAAATCGTATTCCTTCTCAGCCAACATCATATTTTCCACAACAGAACAATATTCTTCCTCCACCCTATCCTGGTTCTGGTGCAGGATTTTGTTCTCATTGCGGTGCACCAAGACAAGCTCTTACGACAAATTTTTGTTCGTCATGTGGCCAACCATTTAACAAATATTAAAACTTTATTTTGAATTTTCTTCTTTTGTTAATTGAGGGTGGGAGGGTGCGTGCATGTGAGTATCTATTTAGCAACCACACCCAAACCTTCTTAAAAAGTGGAAAAATCTAGTTAGAATTTTCTTCAGCTAGGATGTATAAGTATGGATGAGAAAATCTACATCCAGATCATACTCACATTCTCAGTTTTTTCTACTTTAAAATCAACTGTCAGCATAGCGCCAGATCTAGTAATATCATGTTTTCTGTAAAATAAATCTCATGATCAATAATAATGTTAGCTTTCATTTATATGTGAAATTCATAAGCACGCAACAGTTTGCGGCGTCAGCATATGCCTAACATGTGATATTATTTCTTAATAAATTAATATTCTGTATTTTATTTCAATTGAAACAATATTCAAGATTAAACAGCTATAAATTATGGATAAAAAATAATATCAGTTGCTGCTTTGTTTTTATAAACAATTTGAAAAAATTAAAACTCATCGAGCTCTGCGATAACTCGATAGAACAATGATATTATCGAAAAGAAAAGATTCGTATGGATCTTGCAATGCATTAGTATTTGTTTCTTCTTCTTCTATGAGAGTGTTGGCAAGAAAACCATCGCTATGAGCATGAAGTTGTTGCTGCAAAGGTTCGTTAAATAAGTTTTCTTTCACATTTGAATTGCCGAAGACAAGAGTGATTTAAAAACTGGAACATTGAGGGTGAGGGTTCTCATTTATGATTGTGAAGTTCTGTATTAACAGTCTTACCGATGACATTAAGTAGCAATGATCATACTATGGTATTTAACTTCGAAAAGAACAACTGTAGTAAAGCAGTCATAAATTATGCCATTTTGATTAAAAAAGATGACAGGCAAAATCAATATTTCACATACTACCAGAAAACATGGCTCGCATTAAAAAAAAACGTTTCTACACTTCTAACCGGCAAATAACATCTGACCAGATGGGATAACAACATAACAGTCCGTTGTTCCCATTTGTTCAATTTAGAAGAGCATGGTATGTCGGGTTTGTAATTTAGAACAATGTGTTGTGGAACTTGTAAATGTGAATTAGTGTGGGTGTGTTAAATAATTACGATCGATTCAAAGCAATATACTACGTTTCGTCCTTGCTTAAGGGGCTCATTAGGTATCTTGAGAATCTACTACTACATTATTTATATACATATAAATGAGTTTGGGTGTCGGTGTCGGTCTGTTAAAACAACAGAAGGCCCACACACCCATCCTATCTTTTAGATAACTAATTGTCAAAAACTAGGGGTACTGTTTATTTCCGCCAGGCGAATATATGAAAGAAGGCAATTGAACTGTATATTTTTCTTTCATTTGATATGTAGATCGACTAGACATAATAATGGATTAGTAGAACAATAGCTACTAAACCATCCTTACTCTAATGCATTTTATGCGGAAAAAAAGGAGGGTAACTAAACCGAGTTGCACACAGTGTGGAATGTATGAAATCGCTTGATTTCGATTGAAATTGACTTCTCATACCCAAAATGATAAAATTGGAAAGACAAAGTCGAGTTTGGACAGGGGGCCATTTTGGCCTTTTTAAAGACCCAGCTCTTTTAAGCCACAAACCGTTTATTTCACAAAAAAATATTATACTTTCAGAAAATAGACACATATAATGATATTTTTATTCCAATATACGTGTCTATCTGAACTTGCTAACAATGAAATATGATATGCCAGAAGGCAGGGAGCTAATAGCCAAATAGTTGTAGTTCGGAATATTGGACAGCGCAGTCAGAAGCGCGACTTGCAGTAACGAGAAATCGATAGCTTGTATACTGACGCGAGTTAGGAAAAAACACTATTGCTCCAGACATTGTTCTACCTGGATCAGTGGCAAGACCACTTCTGCCGCTGTAGATCAAAGTCCAACTGGAGCCGAGAGTAAGATTTGTGCCAGATTGATTGCTTCCCTCTAATGTTACCATGATAGGATCGCGTCGTGGAAAATCATTTCCTGTACTGAGCTGGAGGCCTACGATGAACGTTGCACCTTGTTGTAGTGCCAAATAGAGACCAGTATTCAAGCCACAATTCTCTGGAAAGAGATTACCCTTGCAATTGTCAAGTTTGCATGGACCAAAGCTTGTATACTTGGTATTCGCATTACCATCGAATGCTTGAACTGGCATCTCCTTGTTGGGGTTTGTGGGGTATTGGCCCATTCCAGTACCTGATGTTGCTGGAGTGCTATCGCCGCCAGCAATTGTATTATACACACCAACGGGTGATTCGCTGTTGGTAATAACTAGTACTGGGTCTGCAAAATCAATATGAACATGATAGTTATAGGAACGTCAAACAAAACAAAAGAGATGAATTCTATGATTTTTAAAGTTAGCACAGGTGAAATGAAAACAGAAAATATATCCTGTCGAATATGATAAAATTATTTCAAATATATTAGCAGATGTGTTACGGTTATGGTGATCACATCGGAGTAAATATACATAAAACATATCATGCTATACAAAATAATATGTGAATGTCCAAAGAGCATATTTTGATAAAAACAAAATTTGAATAGAGAACCTCGAGTGAAACAGTCGAGCATGAGTACTAGATGTATTGTAAACTTTGCAGATAATTGAATTAAATGTTGACAGCGGCCCTCTAAAGTCATTTCTTAGAGTATTCTTTCGTTATGTGTCTTACATCGCATACTACGGCTTCTCAATTATATCGACACTGACCCAAAAGAGATGTGAGTGTAGTGAACAACGACTATAATCTCTGAAAAGCGCTACACATTTGTCACCCTGATCACAACAAAAAAAGAACACCATGATATTCCTTGTCTAATGGTAGTTGTATCGTCTCTCTCCATCCCTCTCTCTCCTAATTTTTCTTTTTAATGAATAATACCGCCTTGTGTACTAATCTGTTTTCTGTATGAGAGAGATACGAGTGCGGATATGAAGAGGTGACTAATGAGGCACCCCTTCTCAATATCAAATCGTCTTGCATGAGCTCGTCAGACATGTTCCTATCGATGATACAATAGCAGAGGAATGAGGAATGATTTTCATGTCTACCAAAATCTTATGAGAAACGTTTACTTTTCATTTGTCGACGTTCGAAAAATGAAATGAACAAATACTCACCTTTGCAGATATTTTGTACGCAGATGCTGCTATTACAATCAGACGGAGTGCGACAGCTTTGCAGATTAGTGCATGCATTTGCCGGTGAACATGGTCCACCACAGTCCACGTCGGTCTCATTTTGATTCTTTACATGATCGCTGCAAGTGGGGACTGAAATAGAGGTGTTGACATGTTTGACATTTCAAATGTTTGGAAGTTAGAGCCCTGCAATGTTGGGGAAAGCGAAATAGTTTCGTCATCATTTTACCCTAATTTTGCAGGACTCTACCACACTCTCACTTTGGCAGATGTTTAACGTGCAGACGCCGCTGTTACAGTCCGATGCCATACTGTGGGTGTGGGTGTGGATGTTTGCATCGCTTTCAAGAAGAAAACGCACCCACAGTCACACCCTCAAGAACGCTTCGAAAAAAAACATTTTTTTTGCATGTAAAATTAGTTTTTTCTTAATAAACGTTTTTTTTCCTATTGAAGAACCTAGTATTCCACGAGATTTAGTCACTTGAAGCACCTGAGAATATCATTACGTTATCGAAGCTTAAAATCTTGCAATAGACATACGCCGTTTAGAACTATTATTCTAACTTGTCTATGCCACGTGCCCTGCCCTGCCCTCAGGACAGGGCAAAAATAAGTGCCCTGTAACGGCCTCTGATTCGAATTGAAAGATTGACATCATTAATTCGAATATTAAAAAATCTTTATTTTTGTAATATAGGAACAAATGAGTTTCTATAAAAAGAAAATAATCATGAAGAAAAACCTTAACTAACAGTTTGTACATTTCAAACTCTTGCCATCATGGCATTTAGAACAACACTTTCAATCTTTTTCTTGCATTTTGCATTAACATGTATCAGCTGATTAGACATTAATGTAAATTTGGCATAGATATATGAAGCTAATGCATGATAATATGAATTCATGTCGAGATTCATGCATTAATATCATAGTATTGGATGCTGCAAGATCCAGAAAAAAACCATGGATTGAAAACTTTCTTTGATGATACCGTTCGCCCTCAATCTTTCGTGTAGAACTTTTTCTGAATTATGCCGAGATAGATTTATATGACTATTGTTGCAGAATTTACTATTCAACTTTCAATAGCAAAGACTTATCAATTTCAAATGGTATCCTCTCATTTATTTGTCCGTAAAAGTTTTTATTTTGCACATTCCTATCTGAATTAGTTGAATTCAAAATATTTTAATATGACCTAGTTCGCTATGAATAGTTCGAATCGAAATTTTAATTATTCCTAGTTCCGATTAAAATCTTGCACTCAACTAGTTCACTGCAAAATTTTAATCTGAACTAGGCATAATTAAAATTTCAATGTGTCCTAGTTCGATTTAAAAGTGAACTAGATGGTAATTTGTTCTGTGACATATAATTATTTCTTTAAAATATGTTTCTTTTTATATAAATTCATGATATGAAAGTGCAATATCAGAAATAAAATAAAACAATTCTCATAGTACGTAAATGTCCTTTTAACAATTACCAGAATATGGAAATGACAGTGGTAGCAATAGCTACCATTCGCATATCTGGCGCGCCGCCTATGCTATGACACAGTGTCGAAACGTCACCGAACTTCATTTGTGTCACAAAATTTTGTCGACACGTGTGTCGCTAGCGTACCCTATCGATGAGGATTCACGTTTCCGTCATTGTTTCTTCGCCTCAGCCTCTGCACCAAAATATCGCCAATTAAATAACTGTAGTTATTTTCTTTAACTTGTATATTTTTTCTTTTCATTTTGTTGGGTCCTTATTCATTGAAAGAACTTTGACATCGTATCACACAAAAAAACTGTACTTAAAGCAGTAATTAGTAGTCTTTTTTTCTTACAGATATTACAAACATTTTGCATTATTCTCGGTTGTTATTTATGGGAATTAAATTTGATAAAGTAAATCCAGATCCATTTGCAATGATTTGTCCAACACAGCTAGTTAATTCAGATGAAGCAGGGTCTATTTATTTCGTCATGCATAAGCCTGGAAAAGAGAATGATTCTGAAATAAAACGTCATGAATCTGAAAAAAAGACTCATTATGCATTGGCAATAGATATGACAGGTATTTAAAATCATGTTTCCTATTAATTCATTTTTCTGTTGCTTCTCCAGGATCATCAAATACTGATTATTTTATTGCGACACATTACGACCTATATGTTGTAAGTTCGACAAATTACACAACACATGTTGAGTCTACTTTCAAGAAACATGCATGGGACCATTATTCATTAATTCAAAAACTTGGTAAAATACCAATTGATGATATTTTAAGATTTCATATTCCAACTCATTTTGCGAAACATATTGAATATCGATTAATAAATGATGTTTTTAATCCTCTATGTGAAGCAAATAAAGGTCCAGGATGGTCTTCAATACTAAACTGTCAAAGTTTCACACGTGCAAGTATTGAACATTTGGGATATGAATTCCCATCGACTGTTCATGTAACTAGTGACTGCATTCCGACTTTGATGGATTCTTTAATAAAAGCAAAGACAAACGAAAAATCAACTGATAAACTGTCCATGTAACACATATATGTTATTGCCTAGAGTAGTTTGTTTTTGAATAAAACATAAAAAGTAGAATTTCACGGTTCATCTAAAGAGATCTTTCATAAATAAAATAAATTAATCTGTATGCCAATGATTTTGTTTCATAACTGAGTTCATATAAATGAACTCAGTTATCGCATGATTACACTTACGCGATTTCAAACAATCACTGTAGTCCATGGCAAGTACAGATGATTTTTAACAATTTTCAATGGATGATTCAGTCTCTGATGCGTTTCTTACATGAAGTTCAAGTCGAAATCAAAAGGTAACATTAACTAATACAGAAAACAATACTAAGAAAAAACTTCCAAATAAACGAACAGAAACTGTTTCAAAAACTGGACAAACACGTATTGCTACTCGTTCTTCACAAAAATCTCCTTTAACACCAATGAATGATGAAAATGATAATTCATTTATGTCAAATATTCAATCTGGTTTTTTTACAATTTGTTAATCAAAAAAAACGACAACGTGAGGACAAAAAACTATTAAAAGGCCTAAAAGTAATCATCATTTTCTTTATATTTCATTTTAATTTTTCAATTATTCTTTTTAGTTACTATCTATGCTGACGAAAATCAACCACCAAATCATGAAATACACGATATTGAACACGCGAAACTAATTTATGAAACTGCTGGTAGAATTTTAAAAAATTCTTTATTTCTAATCAATAAAATTTTCTTCTAGATGGTCATACAAAGCTCGCTCGAGCTGCGGCAACCGATGCTTATCTACTTGCTAATCGAAATGCATCAAACGCTCGTTATCCAATAACAATAAATAAAACTTATAATTAAAATGATCTTAATCAGATTATTGATGATACTCAACCGGAACCTTTAGTTATTCCAGATACACTGGTTGATACCGATACACAACATAAGCACAGCTCGTGGCAAAGAGATTTTGATTGACTTATGAAAAAACTTGAAGAACCATCATTATCTACTCTTAAATCGCAAACACAAACTGTAGAAACTCAAGTTGGAGAAGCAGCTCTTGGACCAATTTAGCCTACTCAAACAAGAAAAACTCATCGACAAACAATGAAACAAATTACTCAATCTGAAATAAGTAAACGGCAATCACTAAAACAGATGAAATTGAAATACAAACTGAAACTAGTCAAAATCCATCGTCTATTCATGATTGCTGTCAAGATGTTCCTACTTCACTGTAAAAAAAAAGCGCAGAATAATCAACCCTTGCCCTTGATTTTCCTTTTCATAAACTCTTGAGGGGTTTATGAGGATGGAATATACCCTTGAAGGGTTCATGATCCAAAGCGTTTTTGAGCGTAAGGGTATTTGAAGAGGCACAGGGTATATGGAGCTCTTTTAAAGGTTTTGTATTTCATATTTTAAGGAAAGCAGTTCATTATTAAACGATTAGGGGTAGATTAATAAACGCATTTTTCACAAACGTTTCTAATTCAGCAATGAAGGGTAGATTATTATTCGGTTCAAAGAGAGGGTTTATTATAATACGCTAGAG